TCTCATATAATACTTTTCTATATACATTTGCTCTGTCAATATATTCTCTGTGGTCTATATCATACAATATGCAGGAAATTATTAACAAATTCGAAAATGATATTTTGTGGCAATTTCTGTGTATCTCCTGCTCTATATGTTCTAAACTTATGTATCCTGAAAAAGCAATGTAGATTCTCAAAAATCCTGATATTTTCTATCCACTTACACTTGCATATCCAGAAATTGTGTTAGTTACTAATCCGAACCCACCCACAAATCGTATTGCCATCTGTTCTTTATGCAAATCTAATCTGAATCGTAATTACCCACTGTATCTTTCTACTATTCTACTAGAAATAACTTCTGTAACACTAGAAAAGCGCAGATATTTATCATCTATTTTTTTACATTGCTCTCTTGGTCGCACCCCAGAGTAAATCCTTTTACTGAATATAGATTGTTAATAGGTACAATGAACTACTCTCAAAATTTTTATTTGTTAAGTTTATACTCTGGACTGTTAGAAGCTATTTTAAAATCTACAAATTCTGCCTTAACTACTAATCGATTTGCATTACCCTCTTGGTTAGATAATTCCATAATAAATGCGATCAATTGGCTCAAAGACAACAATCCCTACTTATGTAGATATTCTCAAATAATTTCTTCTAACTTAACTATGCATTACCTTTTTCCATCTGCTTCTCATTTACTGGATAATGAAAATACTTCTCCAGTTCAATAGCCAGAAATAGTAATTCTACACCAGAATTTTCCTGCAGAAATTCACAACGAAGATACCCATTACGGTCATCTTATGGCTGAGTTTTTAGTAAATGACAATTTTGATAAAATTCTTATTGTACTGAATGATCTCCATCTTGAACCAATACTTTTTCCAGATCTATATTCTAATGGTCATGGTTATTATTATGAGATGAGGAATCAATTAGAAAACATACAATACTGCCATGACACATTTAGAAAATATGTTAAACATAGATTACTTACTAAAGACCCTGCTTTCGTTTATATCGATATTGGCTATTGTGGGTGTATCTTTATTTAGAAAAGCTTTGAAATTTTCAAAATATACAATGATTAATTCGACAGTCTGAAGCTAATTCAACTTATAGATTACCTATAGCTATTGAAATAATAGAGTGAAGTACTTACACTAGTGGTTGGCGGTATAATGAAAAAAAGACTTCACCTATTCCCACATTTATCCACACAGGAGATACTTATTTC